TCAATTCATTTCTCTTTACAGAAGATTTTTATAAGTTGCAATTAAATATATGTGTGAGTACTTAAATTACATTTTGAGAGAAAGAGAGAGAAAAGAGGGCTGCAAAAAAAATACTCACACATATATTTAAAAAAAATTGTTCATAGAACACAAAATCTTTTTCAACATAGTGCAAGATGAGTACTTTTTTTGTAGTAATTTTTTTTAAATATATGTGTGAGTACTTAAATTAATATTTTGAGAGAGAGAGGAAGAGAGAAAGGAAGGCTGCAGTTTAAAGCAATAGAGACAAACATGTATTAGTAATAGAAAAGATCTGTGATATCTTAGGCATACACTTAAATAAGTAACAATTAAGGAATCTCGTTTTATATTACCATCCTGTTTCACTCTCCCACCTTTTCCTCTACAAAATATATTAAGAATACCGTGTCAATGACTATCAAAAGGAATCTATCGGGTGAAATTTTCCAGGTATTTTCCTAAGTACGCAAGCATTTTCATTTATTACACGTACCGACGATTACGTCGAGCGTTGAAGCCGCTCCTCGCTTCTGACGCGCGCGGACGCGCGCTTCTCGCTACCGTGCTTCTCGCCGCGCTCGCAATAACTGTAACCCCCGTGCTTTTACGAGGAACAGGTTGTAACTTCGTCGGCTGAATTAACCTTTCTGCCGTGAAACTTCTTTATAACATTCCCGTGGCACAGCTCGCGCGCGAGCGCAAGATATCTATTTTAAGCGCGTCCTGATGCACAATCGCGCGCGCGCGCGCGAACGAACGGCAAGTTCGAGTCAAACGCTGTACATTCACTCGCGAACAACGGAAGTATGCGCCAAACTATCACTAATTCCGCTCAATCTCATCGCCACCCTCGCCACCCTCAAAGAACGCGTTGGAAGTAGTGCCTGGAAGCTTCAATTGGAAAGGTTGCTCCGATTTCTTACTACTTCTCGCGAAGCGTAAGGGCGTCAAATGCGGCGAATTTTTGCGCCCACGCAATGACGTGCTTTGCGACATGCATAAAAGTCTTTCACGCGACCTTGTGTGGCCGTCCCAAACGTCGGCCAAATTCGCATCCCCTTTGTGCAGGCAAGGCAGTCCCTGACCTTGCTACTCCTTGCTCCCGGCAGCAGAAGGCGCCGTAATGCGGTTTATCAGCGATCATTTTTTATCGGCTCGGCGTTACCGCCTGCTGTTACGCATTCGCAGGAACAAATGTAAAGCGGAACGGCCGCGGGATCGTTCGACTGACGTTATAAATCAACGAAAGCGATAAGCGACGTCGAAAGCGCGCACAGCACGGCGGGAGAGAAGAGGGACGGATAAAATGAAAGAATCGTTGAAAAGCTCGTGGGATATATCTAGGCTTAACAAGACTCTCTCGTAAAACGCGTGGCTCTCTTATCACACGCAGTGCTTCTCAATTCGCCTCGAATTAAGGACGTGTGAATTATCCTTCCCCCCGACTTAATCTGAAGAATGCTCGAAAGAGTTCGGCGCCGACGCAGTGATATTTTTGCGAAATAAATTTGATTACTTTTAAATTAGTATTAAATTAGTATTAATAAGAAATAGATGAATTGACACAATTGAGGGGACATATTAGTATAAAATTGCTATATTATTATTTAATTATCTGTAATTTAGATCTTTTCATTGATTTTAAATTTTGTTGCCTATGTTTACTATTTTGTCAATATTGAAGCATGATTGTATTTTTTACGCATCCATGTATGTGTGAGGTATCACGAATATTTTCTAATGACCAATAATATTTGTCCATATTATTTCAAACTATATTCCTTTCCCCTTCTCATTCTTTCTTTCTCTCATTCCAAATGCAATTTAAGTACTCGCATTTAATTGTAACTTATAAACAATTTTTCTACAAAGAAAAATGAATTGATGGAATTGAGGAATTGAAAAAATTATTACATAAAACTGTTACATTATTACTTAATTAGTTATAACAATTTAGACTTCATTATTAACTGTCGTTGTTAAATTCGCTGTAGCCCTATTTCTATTTTTATTTCATTATTAATATATAATTTTATTTCATTTTACTTTTATAATTTTATTTTATTACACTTTCGTGTTTATATGAGATGTTACAAATTTTTTCTATATCACCAATGTATATTTATCTATATTACTTCAAACTTTCTTCCCCTTCCCTCCCTCTCCCTCGCTTCCACAAAATGCAATTTAAGTATTGGCATATAACTTACAATTTATGAAAATCTCCGTCTCCCATTGCGTGCTCAGAGGGGCCTGTTTCATCATTACAGATAAATTTTTGAGAAGTACTGAAATTTTATCGAGGTTTTCTCGTTCCCGAAAGCTGAATAAATCAAACATACGCGCATATGCCTCAGAGAACAGAGGCATCTCATTCGTCCAATGTGTCTACGTCACATCCAATTCATGAATTCCGCGAATTACATCGATGACGTTTCCTATTTGCGCGAGGATTCACGAGTCGCGATCTCTTCATGGATGAATCAGCAGCCGGGCTGTACAATTGTAATCACGAATCCCGATCTGCACGCGCGATCTTCGATTTCGCGGTCGAAAACGCGCGGACGCGTTAATATCCTCACCGTGAAGAAGCCGGATAGCGATCAATCGGCGCGCAAGGCGCGGATTAGCCGAGTATCGTGGACGGCCCCGAAAACTTCTTCGCGCCGCGGGGTGCCTCCCTTATTAACGGCGTTTCCGATCGCGGCCACGACGACTGGACGAGAAACCCTTGGCCTCGACTTGGAGGCCCGCGGACGGGGTCTTATTGGCCGTCGTTAATCGGTATGCCCGTCACGGTCCATCTGCTCACGTACTCGGGATCACGGCTTGCCTTCTGGTGGCCTTCGCTCTCATACCCGCTTTCCTGTCTGCCGGATCTCTCTCGCGACGACCGTCGTAAGTCCGCTGTCGTTATCGCTATTCAAAAGTTTGCGAACGCTCTGAGATAGTCCTCGGTGTTCCATGATCGGAAGATTGCCGGTTCTCCTCCCACTCTATGTACCGGAGATACCTCCTCTTCCTTCTCTTCCTCCTCCTTTTTCTTCTCTCTTCTCTCCCCTTTTCTTCCCAACTCGCCAAAGTGGGTGTCTACTTGACCTACATGCTTAAGTACCACGGCTAGATATGTCATCGCGATAGATGATTATGAGTCGAAACACAACATAGAGGCTGTTCATCGTGAGATCGTGATGCGTCATACAGAGGGTGATTGGCTCGACGAGAAAATTGGAATAATAGGATTATGGACTTAAGCTGTTGCTGTATGTATATCGTCGGATTCTAGCACGTGCCGTTAGGTCAATGGAATTCAAATAGCCGACGAGCGATCGCGCCCCGAAATTCTCTCGAGGTGCGTTTGACGTAACGTGCGGTAATCGTAGGTAGCTCGGCGATAACGCACATCTCGCGACAGATGCGTAAACGTGATATTTGCATATGAAATTCGATTGTATCTAATCTCGATTTATTGCAACCAATCCGATTCCTCGGCCGGCTCGATCGAAAGAGCAGCTCATATCGAATTTCCCTGTCCGCCATTGATTCGAGAACAAATCCTAAACCGCGGAAGTGAACGCCGTGTGTTAGGGGAATTAAATTCGAGATTGAATTAAAATCAAAATTAAATTCAGGGAAAAGCGGCATAAATTTAAAAAAAGTCAAATTGAATTCCAAATTAAGACAAGCGTTTGAGCTTTAACGAGACGTAACATAAATCATCTAGTAAAAGAAAAGAAAAGAAAACGAGGAAATTTGCGCGAGAAGAAGCTATCCTTCGCTGCTTCTCCTTCGCACCTCGCGCGTGAAGGGAAAAATTCAAAAATTCAACCGACTTCATTGATTGATTCGCCGGCCTCTCCCTCCCCCCGCGAGTGAGGAGGGCGAAAAGATCTCTCAACGCCGAGGCGATCGTTTCTCTTTTGCTCTGGGAAGCACGGCTGCCGCGAGCTCACCTGTGCTCGAAATCCTCGCGAGGGATCCACGAAGGAAGATCCACACCGCAAGGAGTCGCGAGTAGGAGGCCGACTGGTGGGGTTGGATCTCGAGGATTGGCTGCGGGCTGCAGCTGAGGGGATGCGTCGGAGGATACGTTGGCAGGTATATATACTCCTGCCGGCGGCCCAGCGGCCGATCCGAACTACTGAAACGTTCGCCGGTACATGGGAAAGGAGCGAGATACGCACGCATCAGGGTGTCGAGACGAGTGAGAGAGCAGGTCATTTGAGTCTGGGTGTCGATGAGATTGCCAGCAAGTGCAACAGCTGATCCTTTCACCGTCGAGCAGCTATCGTTTCGGACCCGTCGTCCGGTCGTCAGAGAGATTTGTTTGTTCACCGGTGAGTTGATGCGCGGGAAGACTCGCTTTCGTGAATTTGGAGGATCAGGAACGTCGATGGTGATACGAGTTTGTGATCGAATCGAGAAGGCGGTCGGAGGATTTCCGATGAAACGATTTTCGAGATCTTCGATTTAGCCCGTTCAAGTTGTCCTCGTCGAGATCATTCGCGAAACGTGACTATTATTTCGAGCCAGTTTTGGGCGCTGATATAATCCTCTGATATGATTTCGTGTAATTTTATTAGCCCTTACGTGCTGGATTAACATAACTGTTCGTTGTAATTATTATTTTCGTCGCTCACAGAATGGTGAGCTTTTCATCACAAGGCGAAAAGTGATTATTCTATATCAAAGTGGATTGGAAACTTCTTTGTAATTCGTTTTAGAGAACGATCGGAAGGTATCAATATGCGGCTTCGGGGGCGACCAACAAAGACCGGAACGCGAGTCTCGTTTCGTCGTGGGTGAAAACGAATTTCGTCGAGTGATAATAAACCGGCGTGCCGAACGAGTCGTCGCGAGAGGAACGCGCCTGAAAATTCGGTTACGCGACCGACTCGATAACTCGTTATCGCCCCGCGAACGTAGCCTCTGCAGCTCATGTATAATCGTGCCTATTAGAATGCGGCGCAACTTACGTGTTCAGCGGAATTGCCTCGCGATCGTGTCCCCCTGATAGTTTTGCGTCTCCTTTCCGCTTTAGGCTTGTCCTTTGATCAATTTACCTCGACGAATCTATTTTGATGAATGAACAAAAATTAATATTGCATATTCAGAAATATATACTGCATTCAAGAGAATACTTGCTTCAAGCATCTCAGAAGTTTATAAATCATACATTCATCATAAGCACTAAATTTATTCAAAATACATTCTGAATTTTATTCTGAAATTTATTCAAAATATTCTGAATAGCAAGTTGAACATTTTAATAGAGAACGTTAAATTGAAATAGATATTTAATTTGCTTACCACACGCAGAAAAATACGTACTGTATTCAAGTATCTCATAAATTTATGTATTTGCAAGTCTATCATAAATTCATCATAAGTTCAAATTTATTTAAAATACATTCTGAATGTATTTTAGCAACGTTAACATTTTAATCAAGAATGTTAAATTGAAATAAAAATTCCGTTTGCTTAGTACATAAAATTGAACCAATTTTTTCTTCAATAAGGTTTTATAATATTCTTATAAAGACAATAAAAAATTTTTCTTTGAATATATATAATTTAAAATGTCTAAAATGTGTGATGAGTATATCTCAAGACTACTATCAAGAAAACATTCTTTGTCGAAGATAACTATTAGTTAAAAGAAGGAAAACTGAATGTTTGCTTTTCTTGACAACAGAGTAATATTTCTCTTATGTATGCTCACTTGTGTCTCTGAAAAAATTTGTTTAATTTGAAAAATTTTTTATTGATTCAGAAATTTATAATTAACTTTGTAACAAGTCACTTCAAATTTAGAAGGAAAAGATGATCCACGTGAAGAAATTTCGAAATCAGCTATTGAAATTGCGTCATACATTTTCACAAATTATCTTGCGTAAAATAATCAGAAAAAGATATCTCATATCTTTCACTTGTCTTATTCTTTGACGTCACTCGAATATCGCGACGAAATCCCGATAAGCTACGGTGTTGTCTTCGGCGGCATTATTAAATTTTTATCTCCGCAGCCGCGCGCGCCATTCCCGCCGTCCGCGTTGCGTAAAGAACGCGTTACTTTAATTAACGCAAATGCGCGAGACGCGTCGTTTAGAGTGGCCGCCGTCGATTAGCCGGATCTCGCGGCGCGCTAAATATTTCAAACGTGAAAATGCCACAGCGGACTAATTGCGCGACGCAGAATTTCGTCTATTCCTCAAACGGATTTTTCCGGGGCGAAGATCAGCATCTCGCGTCTTTCTCACTCCACGGGAGCGGCTTTTGCGCGCGGGTGGCATCGCCAGTAACGATGTGTATTCTGTCAGCCCGTTCCGGTTGCTAGGAGGTGAGAAGATGAGCTGATTCGGCATGTTCCCTTAACTTTATGAAAAAAAAACGCGCGCGATATGAACTCTCGAATCACGTTCAACATAGTACGCCGGTGAACGAGCAATATCGTCTCGCTTTAGACGCTCGTAAAGGTCACGTAATTAATTTCGATCCGGCTGCCGGCCGGCGAGATCGCGCCGTGAGTAGATCGTTTTCACGGTTAATCGCGCTTCCTCGGGGAAATTTCTCCCGATTATTCCCTACGATGCGTATTTACCTCCAGGCAACGTCGGATCACGCCTGAGTGTCTCTCTCAGCGGGTTCGACTTCAGACGGGAAGGTGAAAATTGGCAAACTCACGCGTAGGGGGGATGCGGAAAGTTCCACGCTTTCTCATGAAATTCGAAACGAAAGGAAAAATTCATGGGTGATATTCTATGACGCGCGCTATGAGAAAGAGAGAAAAAGAGAGAGAGAGACAAAAAGGGAGAGACCTCACCTGTGGGTAGGTTTTCGGCTCGCAACATGATCGACGAGATTCGAAAGTTGCCGCACCGTGACATTATAACGTAATAGAACTTTGAAATGATTTTTCTACATCATTATCGGAACGATGACTAGTTGGATCTCAAGAGAGAGAACTTTGATACCTGCGCGAAAATTATCGCGGTTATGTTCTCGATGCCCATGGTCGCTTGATCTTTACCTTGTATTATTAATCTTTCATTAGCGATATCACGTACAGTACAATAACGTTTTCGTTGCGATCGTGTGATGCGTGTCATGCGTAACACGGACAGAATTTTATATTAAAAGTCACGATAAAATTTTGTAATCGAGGTACAGATCGATATTTAGTAGTAATTGACTATCCTTTCGTTTCATATGCGCTACTTACATTTCAGGAATTGGAATGTGCTAGTAAAAAATTTGCTGTTTATAGTGAAATTTATTATGTTCCTTAACGAGATAGACACTTGCTGACAAACTTTCTAAGAATTCTAGATTTCTATTTCTAGACTTTCTAAGAACATAGTAGAATTAGAAAGAATTAATATGAAAACAAATTATAATATTCTCTCTATGCAAGGTTTTAAGAAAATGTACATTTTCTTATATGAAAAATATTTTATATTAGTATAAATCAATATGTTATTAGTGCCTAACGAATAAATATATTTTATCTCTTAAATATTACACTCAGAGAAAAAATGGTTGATCTAACTAAAATTATAGATATTTTTGGTCATATTTTTTAATACAATGATAGTAATAACACGCATATAAAATTATCATTTTACTAACATTATAGCAAAATTTAATTTAAAAATGATTTTCTTGGTAATCTATAGTAATTATTCCTCCATGTGATTATAGTTACAAATACTAAACATTTTTTTCTCAATGTACACTGAGAGAAAAAATATCTAAGAAATATAAAATATTTATTTAGTGGAAACTAATAACATTTACTTATACTAATATACGTATTTTTATACTGAGAAAAATGTGTTTAAATAAGAAAATATATATTTTCTTGAGACCTTAACTTTTTCTATGAAAGCAATTGTTTATTCTATTCAAACGAAAAGAGATTATATTTAAGCAAAACTGTCATTAGTATTTGCCAAATATCCTTTATTTTTTAGATATTTTCTCTCTCAGTATAAGCATAATAAAATTGAAAAGAACTTAAATGAAAAAGAAGAAAAGACTTTAATATTTTCTAATATTCTCTACGTGCATGTGCTATTTATGCGGTGATTCCACATATACGCGACCCCGACGTAGAATAATGTGCAAAAGCTGAGAAACGAGATTAGTCGTATAACATAATCGAAGTGGTCGATATCAACGCGGAGGAAAAGCGCGAGTTTCCGATGCACCGTCACGCTACAACATAAATCCACCGTCGCGTCTGAGCGTTATACCGTCTTATGCCAACGATAAAATTCTATATGACATCGTAAAAGTGCGGATTAATTATCCGTTAACTTAGAGACAATGTCGCTTCTCCTCTAATCTACAGCGCGAGAGAAATTATTGAGAGGCGTGGTGGACTTTCGCGTGTCTATTGAACGTTTCATTGTATTTCTAGTAATGCACAAACTCAGTAACAATCTGTCGTACTAAGGAACATAATGAATATGTTAACAGCACACTTCACGCCCATGCAGTAATAATAGTAATAATAGTATATAAATAATACATATGAAACGTGAAAAAATAACAAATTACTAAAAAACGTTGAGCTATTCTTCGTTTATAAAATTCTCTAGTTATTTATAAAATCCTTTTTGTGCACTGATTATTTCACTTAACTTACATTTAAATCACCAAAAATGCGATAAATAAATGCAATTTGTGATTGGTTTGTTAGCTCATTCCATAAGTTGTCCATGTATTTTATTTGTTATATGCAATTGGTCACATTTTATTTCGATCGGTCCAAGTTTGTGCAGATTTTTAAATAAAGTTGAACAAAAATTTTTAAATAAATTTATTTTTGTTAAAAACAATTTTAATCATTAATACGCCATTATATTCAACAATCTTTTGCCATCTTTCACCTAATTTCATAATTTCCTTCTCGTAAAAGTTCTCTTGTACTTTCCCGGCAAAATATATTTCGAGTGATTTTTCACATTTTCTGAAAAAGCGAAGTTTATAGCGTTAAGAAAATTCTGTAATGAATGAAGATGATAATTTGAGAGGGTAATGTCGGATGAACATGATAAGCGAAGCAAAACATCCTAGCCCAACTCTAATTATTTTGACGAAATTAAAAAAGCATAATGCTTATAACCGGATATATAATAATCAAAAAACTTATTACTGCCTTCCATTTTCAAACCGCGACAAAGACAACTAACTTCTTTAAACACTATTACTTACACTGAGAGGAAAATATAGTTGCTTTCGGCGTCAATTCGCGTTTTTCAACTATACTTTTTTGGGATTTTAACAAAAAAAATAGTTAGAATTGTTTTAGTAAGTGTTATTAGAAAGATGGTTCTTCTAATTATTTTTTTGGTTAAAATCACAAAAAGTATAGTCGACGCCGAAAGCAACTATATTTTTCTTTCAATGTACACCACAAAATATGCTCTGAAATATCAGCTACCAAAGCACTTATATGGATGGCCAACTATTCTTAAATATATAACTATCCTTCTAATACAAATATTCGCACGAATTTATGGATCAGTCTAATATATGTGAATTAGTAAAACGCGCACTAAGAAAAAAATATTTAGTATTTTTTACTATAATCACGTAGAGAAATAATTACAATAAATTATTGTTGAGAAAACTTTTTTTTATTCAATTCTATTATAATGTTAATAATAATAACTTCATGTGCATATTACATGTAAAATTTATTCCTGCGAAATAATATAAATTTCTATAAAATAAAGTCTATTTCTGCGAAATAAACTTTTGTCCCACACACAAATAAATTTTCAAGTATTTCTTTCTCAGTGTACTATTTTCGTTTTAGAACCAAAACATTTGGTTGGAGTCCAAAAGTAATTATAATTTTCAGTTAGATCAACCATTTTTTTCTCTCAGTGCAACACTATTAACCGAGTACTGGTGACCAGCGTGGCAGTCAACGTATTGACAGTGATCAGTCAAGTTAAAATTATTGTAAAATGACAGAATCTCTTCACTCGTGGAAACAAATGTTGGATGTTGAATGAATAGACAGTGTTAATAATAGCTTTTCCAATTAGTTTCTCTAGGAAACTGAAATATATGATAGGCGTGACCATTTACTACCATCATAATTCATAACAATTCAATGCTGTTTGGTAAACTTCAAGTTGAGTTAGGAAGCAGACGAGAACATGTGTGATATCGTTTCTCACACGTTTGCTTGCTAACTCATCTCGAGATTTATCGGATAGCATTGAGTTGTCGTGAACTATGATAGCAGTAGATGGTTGTGCCTATCATATATTTCAGTCCTAGAGGAATTAACTCGAAAAGTCATTATCGTGAACATCCAGAATTGGATATCGGCGCACTGTTGAAGTTGAAATAAATCTTCTCGACTCAATGACAATGTTATTGAAACTAGAGAAAGGATTTTGCTGTAAAAGCGAAAATTTTGCACATTAGATCAAAATGGGCATTTGGTTAAAATAGGCTCGACCAAATGTTCGGTGATTGTAATAAAAAAATGTTATTGCTGCTTGTATGTTTTGTTCCTTCAAAAATATATCCTACTTGACCCAAATAAAAAACATAGCAATGTCAACCAACAAATCGCACATACATATTAAATGTTCCAATACAAATACAAAGCTGATTTTTTTCAATGTGAAAGAAAAGCTTGGTAATAACGACATCAAGCCTGGATAATATAATAGTTATCAGATGCTTTGGTTGATATGAAATATCTGATACACACACGATTTGGTTGGCATTGCTATGTTTTTTATTTGTGTCAAATACAATGTATTAGTGAAAGCAAAATGCACAGTGGCAATTAAATATTCCGGTTGCAATTGTCAAACATTCGGTCAATTCCATTTAAACTAAATTTTGGTTCAATGTACTTGTCGTTTCGACACTAAAAACTCTGTTTTCAGTGCACTGAAAACTCTGTTTTCAGTGCGACTCATCGCGCGAAGCGATACCATCTCATTGTCGTATTTCGCCAAAGCAACATTCATCAATTTGCGTTTCGTTGCCGCGATCGTGAAGCTCTCGCGAGATTCGCGTGCCATTTGCGAAAATCCCACGGCGTGCTACCGTCCAAGCGCGCTACTCTTCGTCATCGTAATGTCGGTGCAACAGTGACGCAATCGAAATTGAAACGGGTATACCTACGCGCCTCATTGTAAGACCAATTGTATTCACGCTCGCGCCGTATAACTGATGATGTAGTCTTACCGTTGCACAATGTCGACAAACAATGACGGATATTTTCGCTTAGTTGCACGTGCCGCTCGACCGACTAACCAAGCATCCGCGCGAATCGTTATCGGCAGTACGCGATTTGTCGCGAGTGTGTCTCGTATCGGAACGTGTTCGCCTCGTCGATTTTAATTTATTTATCCGCGGCGCCGACTGCTGTTGTTCACGCAATCAATGAGAAACTCTCGCTTACGCGTGAAAGTGCTCAAACACCTCTGTAGGATTTTTCTGTTGGCCAGGAATGTAGATACAAAATCAGAGTTGCAAAAATATCAATTAAATTTTTTTCATTTTAATTGTGGATTTGGGTAGAGATATGTTTCGACTAATTGACAGTCGATTCGAGCAAAATTGATCGAAGAATGCTCAATGATTGATTTCAACAAATTCAATTAAGGATCGTTCAATAGGCGATATGCGTGATGTAAGCAAAGGGAATTTGTTAATTCTAAACATCAAAAAGTTACGTAAATTTTAAATATAGGTGAATTTTATTCAGCGCATTTTCATTTGCTTACAGCTTTCGGAAAAACTATCGAAATTCAATCCTTTTTTTTCAGTTGGTGTAGAAATATGAATCTATCAATGTTTTCGCGATTCAATAAAATTACAATGAAAAAACAAGAAATATTTTTTTTAAGAACGATAACGTGTGAAATGTTAATCTGGTTAAATTTTACATATGTTTTGGGTTCTAAAGTTAAAGATCGTCCAATTAACAATTCAACATAGCAAATTTCATTAAACTTTACCGTTTAATTTGACTAAGTTTTACTTTCTCACTAACATCCTACTTGACACAAGCAAAAAATATGGTAATGCTAATCAAATCGTACATATCAAATATTTTAGTTTCAAGCACAAAAATAATTTTTTCAATGTAGGACTCGCGTTGAAGAGATCACAATATCAATCATCATCACTTTAATCTTCGATTGAATCGATCGAATTTTCCTATATCATCAATTAAATTGGCTTCAATTAAATTTGTTAATTTAGAGAAAGAAATAAGAACTCACAAACGAAGATATCAATCAAAAAATAAGAAAAAGGGCAATTCGAGTTCAAGCACAGGACTAATAGTGCTATATACCATATGGGTAAAAACCTTCCTTGTGTTAGGAAATCGTGTAATATTTATTGAACATGAATAATCAATATAAAACAATCATACGTTTCGGCTCAACCATGAACTCTCTTCAGTGATAATAAAACTCAAGGTTTACGACACGAACGCATTACAATTAGTAAAAGACCTGCGCAAATTGACATGAATGTTAGTCGCAATATTAAAGCCGACAAAACCGTTACCGAAATAATATTAAGTAATAAATTAATATTGAGAAGTAGCCGTCATAACTATAAAAAACATATAAAATAAAATAAAAATAAGTAAAATTGAAATATAATAAATAATTAAAACTGACAATATAAAATACCTTTGTTGAGTTCAGCTAAAAGTAAACCGATTCTGTCAACGATAACATCGCCACGTCTTCGAAATACAAATAATTACAGATTTATATACCTAGCATTAACATTGCGGAAACGACTTGTGGAAGAGAAAGAAACCAAAACAAAGTTTATTTTCATAACAAGCCGCAGTAGCTGGTGCCCAAATATTCAGTATCCTTTTGTGAGTTAAGACCTTGCTTCTGAAATTTGATGAAAAACATTTCTGAGATCAGGCGTTTTAAGTAAAAGCGTTCCTCACGTAAAACTTTGACATGATCCCAATCAAAATCATGATTCTTCCTCAAACGATGTTCCTATGGCCGTTAACTCCACCGTAGAACTCTTAGGAATTCTCCTATGCTCGCCAATACGTGTAGAGAATCTTCTACTAGTTTGACCAACGTAAGAAGCATCACAGCCACTGCATTGCAACCTATATACAACGTTATTATGGAAACCAAGAGGCAACCTGTCTTTATGCACACGAATTAATTTTGATAATTTATTAGTGCAAGAATAAGCAATATCTGTCAAATTATTTCTAAAAAGCTTTGTCAGTCTTTTCGAAATTGAACCACAAAATGGTAAGGTAAAATATTATTCATGTTCAATAAATATCACACGATTTCCTAACACAAGGAAGGTTGGTATATAACACTATTAGTCCTGTGCTTGAACTCGAATTGCCCTTTTTCCTATTTTTTGATTGATAAATTTGTTAAGTTCAATAATCAATTAAATGACTTTCAATTAAATTTGTTGAGTTTAATTGAACGATCTTTAATTTCCTTTGCTCATACCAATCGACAATTGAACGGTCTGCAATTGAATTCGTTGAAATCGATCATGAACCGAACGATCCTCGATTGAAAATGTTGAAATCAATTATCAATTAGACGGTTATCAATTCCCTAATTCAATTGGCTATTAATCGTTCATTATAAATATGATTATTAATTACCAAAGTAATTAATTACTCGTAATCCTATATACAGCAAAAGCGTTGCATGAAATTTTCTGAAATAGCGAACGACGGCGTGAAAATTCAACTTCGCTCGGCGCGCGTTCGAGGAAATTTTCCTAAATATCGGCGGCGTTATCTGTTTATGGGCCAGCTCGAAATACACATGATCGGCAGAACTGGAACGATGTTTTTGAATCCGAATTTATCAATTACGATGGCGAATAAGTCTCGAGTTGCTATCGTAAAAGAGACATGGTATTTCCAATTTTAAGAATTTAACTAAGCACGGTCGTTGTGTCGTCGGGTATTTCGGTCATTTATGACGTTAATCCACTTCTGTTCTCTTTTCTTTCGCGACGGTGAGGATTAATAAGTTACATGACGATCGCTTAAATGAAAATGGACACATTATCGTGTTCACCACGCCATACAATTTTTACTATATTTAGTGCAGATTTCTTTTATCGGTATTTTGTTACGAGCGCGTTATTTTCAGTCATGATAGACCCGATTTCGTAGTATATCACGACAGATTTAAATTAATTCAATAGCTAAAATTTAAAGATACTTTGAATACTCGGCCTTTTCCCACACAAATCGATAGTAATCTTACGAGCTAATGCTTTGTTCGTAACTATGAACGACTATATATTCTGTATATTCTCACTGTTGAACATTCTATTAGATAATTTAATTCTACTAGATATTGTGTAATAGGTGATTTCAGATTTTTCAGACAAAATGGAACAATTATATTATTATATCGCCCTAATTTCATGAAATGACGTACATGTCATTTTGATGCCAATTTTCTGTTATCTTTCACGTGTATTTTTTTCATAAAATGACAATGACACAAAAATAAAATTTATTTGACGTGAAAAATTCGAGATTATATATTACAAGACCAATATATGTATTTTAAGATATTGTAACTTCAATCATAATCATTCTCACGGGATTAAGTACATCTCATTTTATATCTCAAAGTTCGTGCTTCTTATGCATATTGATCTGGCCGAATTCGTTGCTCTTCTTTTTCGGAATATACTTATAAAAATAAGAGATATACACTGAATTTAGTCCCTAAAATACAATAGTATATTCTTTATTGAAATGCTGCATTTATAACTTGTGATTCAGTTAAAAGTTAAGTAGCACTGCAATTAGTAAAATCTTACTGGAAGAATCAGTCGACAGTAGCGACTGTTATTGATGCATTTTGGGAACAGACAGTGTCATTGCACTCAAATCACATAAAAACTATTGATTCCATCGCTACGCAAAAATTGGATTTAATAACAGCGTATAACAAATTTGTATACGGAGAGAATTTTACAGTAAAAATTGCTATAAGATTTTGTAACCGAGAAACAGATCAACGTTCTGTAATAATTCATTATTCCTTTATTTCGCATGTGCTACTTATAAGAACTGAAATGTATTAGAACATTTTTTCGTTATGTTTCTAGCGAAATTTACTGCGTTCCTTAGCAAGATCTTACTGACAGTTTACTCCTCTGAGTTACTCTCCTACTAAAAATATAGTAAAATTGAAAAGAATTTATATGAAGAAAAACTATAATATCCTTTTTGTGTGATATTAAATTTTTGCAGTGAAATCTTATTTCCACTGTACAAAACCAGCAAGACGAAGCAGTAAAGTAGTAGCGTTTAAAAATCAGCGAATATCCACTGATTATCAATGAGAAATGCTTCTTTCATTAATTCAATCAGAAACATTTTTTACTGATTTACTTTGAAAGAGTATACATATATTGATGTACATGTCGTGTGGGAAAATTGAAATTCTAACATTCTTCTTCGCAAAGTCCCCCGACACACACTGACACGCGTCGATCGGTGTAGTTCAAAGTTTACGGTGTGTAAATGTTAAGGAGAAAAAAAGAGAGAATAAAAGAAAGAGAAAAGCAAGTTCATCCTTCCAGGATAAAGCATTACGATTGATCGCGAGGCATTCCGTTTCAAGGAGCGCCGGAGAAATGCATTGAAATTTAAGAGCACCCGTGCAACGGAAGAAATAGAGAATATCTTGCAGTCGATCGGCTGTGTTCGCGATATCCAATTTCAAAGCGTTCGTAGCAGGTGTACAAACTCTCTCTCTCTCTCTCTCTCTCTCTCTCTCTCTCTCTCTCTCT